CTGCTGTTACTGACACCTCACAAATGTGGGGGTTTGGATGGGTGGGTTGTTTGCTTTTTTACTTTGAAAAGTGAAGTGCTTGCACTTTACCATGTATTTGATTAAATTAACAGCTTCTAAAAGCATGCTTTCATCAAACCAACTGTATGTTATTCTCTGTGTACTTTCTTCATCAGTATCTCTTGTGTCTGGACTATAACAGGGCAGCAGTCTGATAGCACAGTCTGATACATTGCACAGAACTGTATACACATCAATCCTGTATAAAATATAAAGATTGGAGCAGCTCTTTGAGCGTTGTGATAGATGAGCACATTTTATGAAGGTATTTAAGTCTCACCACCAGTGGTAATGCTGGTGAAAGACAAAAGAATAATAAATGCTGAGATACCTTGGATCAAATCCGGTTAGTAGGATCTTTACTGATTTGGGGTGGAAGGAATTAATTTGCAACACTGTAAAGTGTAAACATTTCTTACAAATAACTTGTGCTGAATTTCCTTGTTGTGAGGCAACCTGACATGTTGCTGCTGGAAGTAGTCACTTGCCACTTCCTTTGTCTTAACTAGACACTTCTTTTACTTCTTGCTTTACTAAGTTAAATGAGCACAACAACAAAGTACGCAGTTGTTTTCTTTTGATGCAGGGTCGGGCAGGCGAATCCACCCACAAGGAGAGTAGTAGGGCCAGCAAAAAAAAGTAGTGGAAGTGCAAGGGCAACATCTGGAACAAAGTAGGAAAGGGTGACAAAGACTGTTTCTTCAGCAACAAAGTGCTAAACTGAATGCTTAGTTGTCTAATGGAATTTCAGCTCTTAGGAAGCCCAGTAATGCTGGCAAGTTATGTGGTTTTTTTCTACTTGCTTGATCACCTGATAGCAATATTCCATTTGGTTTGAGGAATTAGATCTTTTATCACTCATTTCAGTATTAAAGGCAAGATATGTAACAAAAAGGCTGATACCTTGGCTTTTTTTTGTTATTCCAAAATTATAACTTTGGTTTCTCGTTGTTGCTGAAGTAAAATTAGGTCACAAGGAATTCAGCAATGTACTTGGACTTATCAAGTAGAGAAGATAAAGTGTATCCCAGTAAATGCTATTTTATGTAAGCTGCTCTACTGTAATTTTTATGTTGAAAACCCACTCCAGAGACTTTATAGATTAATGATAACATACATTTCTGAAAGAGCATATGCCTCATTGCTAAATGTCATCTGGAATTGGATTTTAAAGTTATCAGTTCCCTTATATTGCTTGGTTATTAGGAAACATTACTGAAAGAGTGTTCAGGCTTTGGAACTGGCTACCCAGGGAAGTGATGGAGTCACCATCCCTGGAGGTATTTAAAAGACATGTAGATGTGGCACTTGTGGACATGGTTTAGTGGTGGATTTGGCAGTTCCAAGTTAATAGTTGCACTTGATGATCTTAGAGGTCTTTTCCAACCTAGATGAATTTATGATTCTATTCTATATTTCATTACAGGAGTGACTGCAGGCATTTTTTGTATCAAGCCGACATCAGTTTAGATGCATGCTAGAGCTGAAGTCTGTACTACTGCAAATAAGTAACTCTTCTGGTTTTGCCATTTTTCAACCTAATGTGACTGACTGCTTTAGATTCATTACTTTGCATGTTCTGCCTCAGTGGTTGTGAGAGTGCATTTGTTTCTCCAGTAAAGAGCATCATCTGAGCACTGACTCTCAGTCAAGATGGTCAGTGCTACTTTGAGCCGTAGGTTACAACCTAGAAGTCACACGTAACAGAGTTATGGCAAAAAGCTTTTAATATTGTCTAAACAGTAGACTAAGAAATTTCCAAGTGTTGTTACAGAATGGGAATTCCTATTTGAACAAAGATACTATTACTTTTTTTCAGGTCTTTTTATTACTAGACAGTTTGTAAATGTAGCAAAATTTAAATATCTGAAACAGCACTTTTTTTCTTTACCCTTTTGCCTGCATTTTGTGGGTTTGAAAACAACTCACTTGCAAATGCCTCTGTAAAGAAGTGATGTCTGTGTGTATGCTGGTTCTTGAATTTTCTCAGTGTTTGTGTGCTATATGGTTTTACAATAAGGAAAATACTCTAAAGGTATGTAGGTGTACTAAAAGAGAAGGAATTGAGACAAATGTAAAGAAAACTAGTAGACAATCTGCTTCATTAAATGCAGAAACCTTAACATGATACTGGGTTTCACCCCAAGCAGGAAATTTTAGCTATGCCATCATGGTGCCAGAGTATTTCTTTGGAGTAGTATTTTCTAGGAATCAGTTGGGAAAAAAAGGTTACCTGGAAACGTGAAGAATAATACATTTTATTATTCTACATGTAATAGTTCATCAGTTTCCTTTTTGCTTTAGGCCTTTCTTTAGGAAATTCAGATCTTTAGAAAACTAATCTTCCTGAACTGCTATAAAACCTCCATGTTTCCAAAGCATAGAAATGACATAATTGTATTAATGATGAACTGTTGAATGTCACTAATGAAGGTCATAGCTACATATGCTAAATCATCATCCTGGATCAACATTTGCATTTGTTGTTATTTTGACATACAACAATTTCAATGTAGTAATAGCTGTTAATTTCTCTGGATCATCTTGGGGATTCTTCTCCCATACTTTGGATATATTTTTGCCGGTTTTGCATTCTAAAGTGAATTGTGTTCAGTATAGTTTTCCCTTCCTATTCAGAATTAGTAGTGAGGAGAGTAAATAAGCTGACCTTTAAGACTCTTTCCCGCATTTCTGCAATACCTTTTGATGCGACATCCCAGCCTAAGTTTTGTCAGCATTTTCCTGAAAGTGTTGTCAGATGTGTTAGGGGTTAGACACCACAAACATGCTTGAATGAATATTAAGAGAAGTTCGCTTCTATCAGCAACAGCACAAATTCACATCTGGGAATACCAAGACTGGAGAAGTTCGTTCCTTTCCTGAGCCAGTGCTGACATTGGTAATTTGGTTGTCATTTCTGCAGTCCTCTGGCAGCAGAGGACTTTTAGATACAACAGTAAATTCTTCTTGGAATTGGTGCACAGGTGTGATGTTTTATTCCCCACTCCATTAAAACCAGTTAAAATTTGGACATTATTTTTTATTTCACTGGTAACGGGGTTTTTGGTTCTGAAAACTTCAGTGAATTTCCTTGTCTAAACCCACTTTCAAGTCAGGACTTGTCTTCACCAAAGAAGGAAGTTAATGTTAAGGTTTAAGGCATGATGTGTGAATAGTATATGATTTCTGCAAGTATGGGGTACGTGTAAGAATCTCCAAGTACTGTTGCAGATGCTTCACTTTGATATCATTTATTTCAATAGACAAATGAGATCTATTCAGTCCTAAAACTTTGGCATTCTGTGTCTCTTTTTCTGGGGAGATAGGAGGCATGTTGCTGAGCAGGGACTGTGTTGTAACCAGAATTCAACAAGGAACTTCAAATGTCTGTGGTATAGACATCCACACTTAAACTATGGGGCACCATATCAAAAATACACTGGTTTGGAAAAGGGGAGGTCAGTTTTCATTACTGAGAGGAAAGCACCATGTGGACTTAAATGCCAAAATCTGAAGGAAATCCCATTTCTTAGTAGGATGTCTTATTTGGATACCATTATAAGGCAATAAATTTTGTGTGCTTTCCAACAAGATCACTGTGGAGATCTGTAGTGCTCTCTGCAGCAATATCAAGGCACCTACACTTGAATCCTGTTGCAGTCAAGTAACTTTGTTATGCTGAGAAGGCTGCTGATGTCCTTTGCATTCAGAGAATTAGGAGGGTTTGCTTTGTAGAGTTCAAATTAAAAAGAACTTATAAGAGACAACAATTAATAAATTTAAAAATGAATAAAGGGTAAGGATAGGTTTCCATATGTGATCTTTAGTTCCCAGGTTGCCTCCTAATGACTGACTTTCCCTCCACATGGACAGTCTCCCCTTTTTTTTGTGTTTTATTTCTCTCTTTAGAATTTTAGAATACAGCACTTACAGCAAGTAATTTTATATATGGATTCACAAAAAATAACTAATTTTACCCTATAATTCTTCTAGCTACTGCTTTGTTTTAGTGTATTTTGTGAAGTAACATCCCAAACAAAGGGCTACAGAAAAGGAGCAGATCTTTGAGAGGTTCATCAGTCAAACTTAGCTCTGAAAATCTAATCTCTTTCTGAAGAGTTGCAATAGGAGAAGTTAGATGCCTGGACTAGGTTTTTCTTCTGAGTGTTCGTTTCAGGGTTAGCTGGCTGACAGGTCAACATCAGTATTTCAGAGAAGTCACTGTAAGGGCTGCTATCTGTTAGATTTGATGAGAAATGCAGGCAAAAGAAATAAGATGTTCTGAAAAGAGCTACAAAATTAATTGTAAATAAACGTCTTATTTTTCCTAAAATCCTGTGATTTTTTTCCATAGTGTATTATTTTGTTGATAATAAAATATGAAGTATTTTTTCCAAATACATGTGAATAAACAGGTAATATGCCGAACAGTAAATATCAAAGTTGCTGTAGTAATTGTACATTATTTGGATTTTTCGTTAGTATATTTTGAACTTGAGTATTTGATCTTAATGGATGACATTTTCTTACTGCGTCCTTCACTTAGTACCTTTCTGCTCACCATGACATTTAATGAAATTTCAGAATAGCACCAGTTCTTTAGTATCAATTATTCAAACATCATGCTAGAAAGACATTCAGAAACATGTTTGGTCTTGCAGTGATTTGTGATACTTTTTGTAAAGCTAAGTTAATGAGATAGCAACTGTGTTTATTTAAATGGATTGAAATGTTCAGGAATTGCCCTGAATTGTAAGGTGTACATTTGTTTAATCAATGGAAGGTTTTATCTGAGATCTTATCTATTAAAAAAACCCAGATAGTCTGTATTTGATCATCATATTAACATAAAGTACCTATTCTTCAAGTTGATCACCGTGAATACATTATTACTCAAATTTAGTTGTTTACATTTAATTTTTTTGTTTGTTTTCACATAGGGAGACAATTTTAAAGACGATCACTGGGCACCCGTTGACAAAAGCAAAGCAGAAGAAAAAGCGAAAAAGAAACAAAACAATGGAAACCAATCACACAGAAATTATGAAGAAAATGTTACATGGAGTAGATCGTTATCCAACTCCAGGTGACCAGGACAGATCAGAAAGTGAAGAGGAGGATGTGGAAGAAGAAAACAAGAAATCATTGTGTACATTCAGCAAAGGTCCAAAGGATCCAGTAATAGTTTGTGAAGAGCAGCCTAACAGTGATGATGAAAGCCTAAGAGAAACTGCAGGGGTCTCAAGAGAAAGGTTTCTGGTTGCTGTGCCTGAGGTCTCAATGATGTCGAACAGTGCACTGAAAAACGAATTGCCTGTAGAAAGTGACAGTTCACTCTTAATAGATGTAAAACTTTTTTCTACTGAAAACCTAACCAAAAATGCATTCAATGATGAGGAAGCAAATCAAAGGCACAGAGAAAATCTTTGCAGAAGTAGTTTCCTAAAAATAAGCAATGATGAAAATTCCATCCGTGAAACAGAAGGCATCTCTGAAGATAATGACACATCACTGTTAAGCATAGAAGAAAAAACGAAATCGTGTCAAATTACATGTGAACCTGACTTGGAAGCTAAACTGATAAGTTTAAACAGTGAAGAAAAACAAATCTCTCAGTGTTACAATTCAAAGGTACATGATGTTGTGCCTGATAATAACACAGAGGGCAAAGGTGCATTAAAAGCAGAAGAGACTAGCTCTAATGCCTGGGCTTGTTTTTCAGTTAATTTATCTACTGAGGAATTGCAGCTGGGCTTTGATACACAAGTTTCTCTCTTTCCTTGGTCTGAGGATAAATTTGTAGGTGAACAAAGACCCCAAAAAATGAGGGAACCTAAACCAACTCAGACAAACAGTTCACAGCTAAACTGCGATCACTCAAAAGAAGGATTGGTAAAGGAAAAACATGAAACAGAAACTGAGGAGTTTGGCAACATAATAAGCAATGGTATGTCTGCATCTCCAGCTGCTGAAGTGCACTTTGATTCTCTTGTGGAAGCCAGGGCCACCTTCAGGCAGTGTTCGAGTGAAGTAAATGTTCCAATAAATGATGCTACACCAATTACACTGAAGAGGAAAAGGAGAATTGTTAACTTAGCACCAAAGTTTAACCTACCAAGAGAGATTGCTGATCATACAGAGGGAGGGAAGGAAGTCCCAGTAAAAGAAAACGTTCCCCAAAAAAGTGTTTTGGAAGTGAAGCAAAAGAACTTCCTAAGCAAGGACCGTGGAGATGCACATGAACAGGACTCTGCATTGCAGGAATATTTTGCACCTTACAGTGACACCGAGGCAACCTCTTCCTTACCCACTCCTGATGCTGATGCTCTGTTACACAGTATTTCTCACATTCATTCAGGACAATGTTCTCCTGTATCAAAATATTCCTGCAGTGTTTGTGTAGCTTCCCGAACAAAGGAGGAGCAAACTACAACTCTTAAGATGCAAGAGGTAGTTGATAAAAAAGAGGATGAGAGCGAACAAGTTTCTTCAGAGGTTACAAGTGACCAACCAGATATTTTGTCTTCTGTTAAAATTGTTTCTGAATATCCAGAAGATTCCAGTATATTGGCAAGCTGCAGTGAAAAGGTGAATGAAGCAGATGACCCTGAACCAGCAGAGGCCTCACAACTTGAAGATAATCAAGATGTGGATGTGAAATGCAGTTTTCTGGGACTTCCCTTATCATTAGGATTTGCCTTTCAACTTGTGCAGCTCTTTGGTTCTCCAGGTCTTCCACTGGGTATAATACTCTTCTTACTACTCCTACGTAAAATAAAAGAAAAACAGCAACTCAAACCCCCAAAATCCCACAACCCCTCAAAACCAGAAACAGAAACCAAAGCACTCCCTCCAAACCAAAAAACAAACAAAAAGACTATGATTAAATAATAATTTTTATTGCAGATATTAGTTAAATATTAATCCTATTGAAATGAATCACTGCTACTTTGGTGATAGTTTCTGTCAAAAGCGGCTTTTGGTTTGGCCTCGTATTTTAAGTTTTGTTAGTAACAAAAATTTACTAACTTTAAATCGGAAGTATGAAGCTCTCATTGCCATTCTGTATTAATTACAGAACTGAATGAAAACATGTTACAAAATGTGTGCTCTTATATAAAGGTTGTATGTCTGCTTTTATATTCCATTTATATTTCCAAATATAAAACCATTCTGGTTTCCTATTTCCCAAAATCTATTAATTTGAAATTGAATACCAAACTTCCAAGTTGCATTTTCTGATAGTGAATACCTTCTTTTTAATCATGCATTGTTAAGAAGTGTCACAGTGTTGTATACTCACCTTCCAGGGCTTCAGTTGTCATTTTTTGTGTTTTCAGTTTAGTCATTTTAAGTTGGAAAGTAAAAGACAATCAGTCCTCAAAGGAGCTGTGTGTGGCAACCATCATTTCCAAATGTACTGCAGGCTAAGGTAACCCTACAAAGCTGTAACCAGCAACAAAACCATGTTTTATTGGGAATCACCCTGGGATACAGTGCTGTGTATGCACCTGCTGAAAGAGCCATGTTCCCTGTGCATTTGGACCCTTCAAATTTTTGGGTCCAAATTTAGTGGACAAACTGTAACTTTCATTTAGCCAAAAAATAGGATTAAAAAACACAGACCAGCTTTTCAGCACATAGACCTTTACATCTGTTTGTTTCAGTAGAATTTAAAGTTAAGCATGTATTTTCATGTGACAGCTGGGGAGCACCTTTGTCTGTTTGTCTGGCCAAACTAACCTCAGCATTCTTTGTTTTTATTGTAAATGTTGATGGCAATACCACCTGCCAGAAGAGTGATGCAAACCGTGGGAAGTATTACTTGGCTTGGTCCCCAAAGGACCTGCAGTGCTGATTCACTTAAATCTGTCACCACACACCAAAGAACTTGACATACAGAGCTGAAACAGAGCAAGGAAGTACTGCTGATATCTTTGACTGTTATGTATAAAACATTTTTCTTCTCCAAACTTGGTGAATCTTCATATCTGTGATTAGATTTCATAATCTTAGAGAGAGTTGGCCGTGACTTGAAAACAGGTATCTTCTGGGGGGGGAAAAAAGGCAAAACCAGGCATTCAGAAACAATCAGTAGGTTAGTGAACCAAATGTTATTCTTCTCTGAGTCAGTAACAGGTGAAAATCTGGCATTTAGATGAGCTTCCTTTGGAAATAACCTTTAAGAAATATCAACTCACCTTGCTATCTCTCTGAAGCTCTGCCAGCTTATGACTGCTCTCTGCTGGAGTTTTTCCATCAGAACTGCATGCACAGTCTGCAGAAGGCTGGCCATGTTCTCCTTTGATTATCATTATCTTACAATTTCAAAAATTCTTGTGCTTTTCAGTGGCATATTATATATTGACAGGTTACTATTTATTCATGCGCACATTTGAACTGTAGTGTTCTACAACACTGGCAATTGCAGTCAATTTTTATTGAAATTATTTTGTTGGGGAAAATTTTGGTAAATAAATGTCTTTAGTTATTTATAAATGAACATTTAGTTGATTGACTTTCTTGTGTGATTCTCATGTAAGTGTAGAATATACTTTAGACAGTTTTCCTATGAAGACTCTCTTTTCAGCTTCTTTAACGGCGTTAGAATTAAAACATTTTAGAAAGTAATTTCTTTAATGATATTGCACAAATTCCTATAATTAAACATTTTAAAATTTAAAGGTTTTTACTTGAGTTGCATTTTGTTTAATTTATCATCTGAAAGCTTTCTGGTTTTCTTGTTTTCTAGTTTTGGAGGAGTATGTGGGGGAAATGAAAGTATGGTAGGAAAGCATTTCTCTAAATAAAGAAACCAAACCCAAATCTCCTTCCCCCTCTTCCCTCTCCTCTGCACTGGCCTTAGATTCTAGAAATCCTAAATTCTGACTTTGCTGCTTGCTCGTTGAAGTATCTGCTTTTTTAAAAAAAGGTATACGTATAATGTGTACAAAAATTGTAATTCAGTATATATTTTGGGTGTGGAGAGATCTGAACACTCAACTGCAAAAAATATTTTCTTCTGCAGAATCCTTGTTGCCAGATGATTTTATAGTTCCTCTTGACTGGAAAGTTTCAAAGATGATCTATTTACTGTGGAAGACCTCTGTGGAGGTACGAATTTTAGGGGATTTTGGAAGACTTTCCAATATTTCAGGTGCAAAGAGGAATTACTCAGTTATTTGTCAGTAAATTTGCTTTATATCCACAATGAGGAGGTGGATGATTTATGTACTCCTCTGAATATTTCTAGAACCAGCTCAAGGCTGTGGTAGGATTCAGGTTTTGAAAGATCAGCTTCAAAGTAGTTCAAAATGGAAAAAAAATTTCTTTGATACCTGTGTCTTGACCTGGCCTGTGTTCATTAAGTACAACCTACCATCATCCAGATGTTTTCTCTCCTCGTCTGAGCATATCTCATCCTCCACTACCTCTGCTAGAGCTGCAGCAGAGAAGTCATTCTGAGTGGCTGTCAGCAAGTTAATTCTCTTTGTCCAATTACAAAGTGTTAACCTGCAAATTACTTTTTTCCCCTCATCATGGCTGTTGCTTTGTAAAGGTTTGCTTTATTTTTCTGGTAGTGGCAATTAGGAAAATCCTGTAAATGCAATGAACTAGTGATTATAAGAAAAGAGCATGGACTTTGTTGTTTCCCCAAATAACAAAATGTCTTGTCACATACTTTCTTCTTTTTGCTGGACTATTGTTATCTATTTTAGGAAAAAGAGAAAGCAAATGGATTGCAGAATGGAAACAGCTTGACTGGTAAGTGTATTCTGTGATACAAAAACTGTGTAAAATTCTTCTTGTTGAAGGGTTTTTCATGACAAATAATTGATAACACTCCTGTTTGTGTAAAAGCACCAGGATGTGATAAATGAATTTGTGCTAGTGTTGATGTGTACATGATATGACAGAGCTATGGTTGCTGTGAATTGTCACTTTGTGTTTCCTGATGCAAGTGCTGTAATTCCTTGCCTTTTAAAGTTTCCCACATGGAATGAATCCAGTACTTAGCTCAAGTTTACCCACTCCAGATCAGAAGAACGTTTAGCACGAGGAAGTCTTTCTTTAGACTTTACTTCCCTGAAAGTTTGATTATCTTCTGGACATGTTCCAGCACCTCAATGTTGTTCTTGTAGTGACAAGCCCAAAACTTTGAGGTGCAGCCTCACCAGTGCCCAGTACAGGGATACAATCACTGCCCTGGTCCTGCTGGCCACACCTCTGCTGATACAGGCCAGGATACCATTGGCTTTCTTGGCCACCTGGGCACACTGCTGGATCATGTTCAGCTGCTGTCAACAGCACCTGAGGTCACACCCTTGAGCAGTAAGAAGTATCAGGGTTCATGTGAAACTCTGGACTTCTGCATGCATGAATTCCTGCAATGTGGAGGTTATGGAATAAGATTGCTGGTTGTCGTTTTCCATTATTTCCGTGTTAGTGTAGTACAATACAGAAGTTTCATAATATGAGTTTAAAAATACATAATAGTAGCTCCCTAAAAGCTGCTAGAATTTGCTGTCTAAAATAGGAGAGAATTTTAGAAAAAAAGGAAGCTTTTGGAGAGGAAGCATAAGATTCTATTGGGAATAGACACACAAACACGAGTGCTCTCTCTTACTCCCTGCTCCCCCCCCCCCTCCATGAGAGACAAATATGAAAGATTTCATATTTAGGAGGAGGAATCAAGGGTATTCTGATGAAATAAAAGCTTATTCTAGAAATACTCTATCCTGACACAACAGAGATGACAGACTACATAAGATAATTTTAGGTGCCTTTGGCTGAAGTTTGTAATTTCTTTATTTTTCAGATGATATTATTAGTCTTGAAGATCTAAATAAAAATCACCAAGAGAATCAAGATTCTTCTGAAACACTTCCAGGCATGGAGCTGTTTCAAGGGATGATAGAAGAGAACATCATGACCTGCACCAGCACTGGCTGTCTGGATGCTGCATTTCATCAATCATGACTGACTATCTTAAATTCTGCATGAACAGGTAATCAGTCACACTTGTGAATGTGTTTCATTCTTTTTTTTTATATTTGACAAAACATCTAAAGAACATTGTTTATTATATCTTTTAAGGTGCAATTAGTATCCCCCAAATTACTTGTTTTTCAATTCAATTAAGGTTGAGGGTTGTTCTGGGTTTGGTTTTTTTTAAGCCTGAATGGGGAAATGAAAAGGCAGTATTTGGTTATTAAAGGCATATGATTTTTTTTTTCCTCTGAAATCTAAAACCTGCCTGGTAAAGTAAAAGCAGTGTGGTAGGATGCCTGAGAGCTGGACTTCATTCCTGGTTTGGTTACTGTGTAATCTGTTATGAGTCATCACAGTCCTATTTTCCTCGTCTCTTTAGCATGGAGAGCAATGCTGCCTTCGTTAAAGGTCTAATTATCAAGAGCACTTATGAGTAATAAAACTGTATTTCACCAAGTTATGAAAAAGTGACAGCTCTCCTTTTTAGTAGAGAATCAGCAGCAGGGCATCACAAGAAGACTCCAATATATTGAAGTGTTAATTTTTCATTAATGTTTTAATTTGGTGTGACAAAGTGTGCTACTGAGCATTAGAAAATATGCTATTGTGTTCTTGCTCGTCTTGTGAATTTTTGAACCCTTTGGTAACCTGGCAAAGTTTCTCCAGCTTGTTTATGTGATATATTCTGGGTAGATTGTGATAAAAAGGAAGGACTTTGGGTTCCATCTGGAAAATGCTAGCTTAACTTCTGTGTCATTTGCCATCAGTTGTTCTTTCCAAAATGGAAAATGGATTAATCCGTAGCTTTTAAACTAGGAAACTGAGGTACACAGAAATAGAATAACTTGTACCATGAGCAAACTGAGCCAGAAAAAAGATTCCAGATTCTGAAGTTTAAATTATTCCTGTCCAGACATCACAGGACCATTGAAATATCATCCTCGTGGGGTCTGGCTGGGGGTCTTTGTCACCCTGTGCCTGACCTGAGCATGAGTTGATGGCTGGAGTAGTCAAAGAGGTGGATGTGCACTGTGTTGGGACAGCTATAAAAGCAAAAGTTGATGTTTTAGCAGGTTTTTTAATTTTTACGGTAGAGGTTCTTGTTAGAGAGGAAGTAGTTGAATAGTTTGGGTTGGAATTGAAACCTCTTGAATGGAGTTTGATTTGATTATGTGCATTTTTATATCATTGATTACAAGAATGACATTGCAGGCCATTTGCTGATTACCCTGTACCATCTACTGACATAGGAAGATGAGGTGAATCTCTGTGAACCACTTAGTACAGACAGCACCGATCTCACATGGTTCTGTCAGGATGGATCATTAATAACATCAAGAACTTCTGGTCATGATATTGTCCTCTTACATAATCAAATACTACAATATTTGTTAAGCAAATTAAAAAAAATTCTACCCAAATACTTAGCCCTATGCCTGCTACATATTTTTAGAAGTTACTTATTTATAATATTGCACTAAAGGCAAGATTTTGGCTTATGGTACTGACTAACTGTCTGTGGCGTTTGTATCCTAAGCTACTATCCAGAAATGTTCAGGTTATTGATTGAAATGTTCATATGTTAAAGAAACAGACATGGAGAGCTCTGTTATCTTCCCAGGAGAAAATTGTGATTAACATGAATTTATTTTTTTTGCCTTTGTGTGCTACAAGAAAGGAAAGACAGACACTAGCAGAGTATCTTGCCTCATTATCCAAACCTCTATCTTTTTCCATTAGATTTACCCCTTTTGTCTGTTTGCTGTGCTACTTCCAAAATTGTTTGTCTTCCTCTCCTGCTTGCTGTGAGTGCAGCAGAAGTGACTCGCAGCCCTGTGCATGTGTGACCCAGCCACTGTCTGCTGTCATTAAACCCCAGATTGTTACGTGGTGTTGCAGTCTAATGCTCTACTGCATTGGCTTATGTTAGTTCTAGGAATGTAGAATCAAAGCAATGCAAATTTTACCGTGAAAGAAGACTCTCAGTCAGTGTTTGGTTTATAAAAAGGTCTTGCACATTCTCTGCAGGGCTCAGTCATGGAAATCGATGCTGGGGGGAGGTGTGGTTCAGTTGGAGTTTCGTGTTGGGAGGAGGAGGGAAGTTAGTCAGGAGGTTTTGGGGGGGTTTGCTTTGGTTTGGTTTAGTTCAACAACTGAAATGAGTCAGGGAAAGTCCTGAAGGCGGTTGGAGGAAGAGGATGAGACAACAGAGGTCAGATGGGTTTAGGCTGCTCTGGAGCTGTGATCTGCCTTCTCAGACCATGAATGGCTTGCTGCTGCCAAAGATGTGAAGTGCCCTTCCTGCCAGCCCTGCTTCAGAGATCAGCTCCAACACTTCCTGGCTGACATGAAGGCTATAATTTAGCTTGCTAACCCTGCAGGAAACAAATGGGTAGTTTTCTGCTGGACTGACAAGTTTAGATAAGCTGTAAAGCCCAATTCAGTGCCAAAGTTGTGGCAAGGGAGCAGACGAGGCTGTGCTGCTACAGATACAAGGAGAGGACGTGCAGGGCACCCTGTTTGGGTGTCAGTCAGCTCTGATAGCAGGGACCACGTACCACGCAACCAAACCTTCAGATGAAGGGCTGCTTTTAAGATTTTTAATCATACAAATGTAGGATGTTAAAAAAATTAAGAAAAGTATATGAAAAGGAAGAAGCATGTCTTGGGTTTTTCAGTCGGATCATGCTCACAGTCAGGCACAGGATACAGGGTAACAAAGACCCCTAGCCAGACCCCACGTGGGTATTTCAGCGGTCCTCTGAAGTCTACATGAGTAGGTACTGTAAAAGGCAGGTGAGTTTTTCTCATTGATGGTGCCCCTGGTTTTGAGGGATAAGGTTGTCTTTCCTCACCACGAGGGAATTCTCCTCTGCTCCCTTGATTAAAGCAGACTCACCAAGAATGATGTCCCAGAGTGGTTGTAAAACTGCTCAAGTGGACAACTGTAAATGTTGAAATGGATTTGATTTCATCAAATGCCAGGGGGAAAAAAAGCTAAGAAAATTGAGACATTTCTATTGAAAACTTTTAAAAACATAGGAAATAAATGGCGAGCTAATATGATCATTCAGTCCCTTCAGATTGGAAAGTAAACTGAGCATTACTGGCCAAGTGCAACTTAAGCTGTTAGCCAGATGATTGTTCTTCTGTACTCATGTTGTGTAAGAGTGTTTTCATTCCAATGGGAGAGTGAACAGTGGTGGTGTTCCTCTGTGAAAATACAGGGTTAATCTGAAGCTGTTGTGAGAGTTCCTTATTGAAGCATTGGCAGCACATCAGTATTTGTTCTGCAGATTAAGCAAGAGTTCCCAGTTTAAAAAATGTTGAGATCATTGAAAACAGCATTATTTTGGTGCCTGTAAGTTTTTCTTAGACAAGGACTCACAGGTGCCAAGCACAATACAAATGTAGCACAAGAAGACAGAACCTGATGTCAGTGTAAGCATTTATCTGCAAGACCACTGCAAAGTAAAAGCTGGCATGTTTCTTTTTGAAAGAATAGTGTTCAGGAACTCCCTGCAGGAAGACTTCTTCCACAACAGCCTGGTAGGGTGTGGCTTTGATGAGACAAATCTCTTGGTGCTGTACGTTATCACTCCTCCTTTCTCTGGCTATGCTATTCCCAGCACTTCCCATTGCTGCATGCAATGCTTCTGCAGTCAGAGTGAAGCAGTTCAACTCCATAATCCAATGCATGAAGATGTCCAAAAAGTTTTTTGTCTAGACCATGGAGCTCATCTAGAGTCCATGAGATAGCAGGACTAAGGCAAAGGAATAGGAACATATAGCTGGGTCAGGCAGGACTGTCTTTTGTCTAGCATGAAGAAATTAATCTAGAAGATACAAAGCAAACTAAAGCAGTCTTCCAGTATTGCCACAGAAAATATCATCCCATGGCCAAACCTCTTTTAGTTGGTACTTTGATACCACGATAATAATAAAAAAAAGAAATTTCTCTGTTCTTTGACATTTAACCACTAATAGTAAACAAAATGAAGCATGAAAAAGTGGACAGAATTATGAGCAGAAAACCTCACCTACTTTTTTCAGTGCTTATCAGAAAACCTGGCCCAAAAATGACTTAAGCAGAGAGTATAATTACCTAGGGGGAATAAGAGCTGCCCACAGCAGCGTTTCTGGAGCTCTCAGAAAAGACCAGCCATTGGATTGGGTTGTGTGGGTGCCTCATATGAACTCTGTGACTTGGAGGTCTGTGAGGTCCTGAGTGAATGTAACAGGGTAAACAATTCATATTGTAACAAAACAATTATGAGATGTAGCTGTACAATATTAGTTTTGGTTGAACAACTGTTCATTATATAGGGTTTGTGAAGTATAGAGAAAAAAAAATCCACTGTGTTACTCTTCTCCCTGTGTTTTAGCATTGAGATTGTTAGGTCCTTATTGCCTCTAGTTTTGACATCCAAATTCTTCTCTTCCTTTTCCATTCTCCCTATATTTCTTTATTTTCCCTTTGCTTTCTATTATATTCTTCCTCTCTGTTCTTTTTAACTTTTTAAAGAAATAACCAACAGCTGAGTATGGGAGACTTTAAAAAATGTCGGACAGGTGAACTCTTCTCAGTCTGGGTTTTCTTTCTCAGGTCTCAGCTGTTAAAAGTCTTGTTGCAGCCTGTGTTGTTGTGGTATTTCAGCAGAACCTGTTCTCTTTTTATTTCAGAAACTTCTCACTTTGATTCCACCATGGAAGGACTTCAGTTGGCCACTAAGGATTTTAAATGTGAGGGATAACCTGGAAGAAAGAAACCACTGTAGATTTTTTTTTCTTTGTCTGTCTTCTCTCCCACAGCCCCCCAGTATCAACCTTTCTGTCTATGTAATAATGATCTAAATTGAGATGACTTTGGGTATGGCAAAATGTCACTTTCTGAAGCCATTTGGGATTTATACTTTCTCTATATAAACCTCAAGTGTGGTACAAACAGTTTGAGAGTGGAGACCAGAAGCATTTGTTGCCATGGGGGGTGAGCTTCAAGCTCTGGTATTTAATTTACTTGTGTGGGAATCCAAGATGTTGCCACACAGTGATGCTTGCCTGCAGGGAAAGGTGCCTGTTACATGTGCCTGCTTCTGCCTTTCACCCTGTCAGTCATAATTACATCCTAGTCCCTTTACAACCTCAAGTGAAATAAATCTTCATCAGTCACTCCTAATCATTCATCCAGGGGTACACAACTTACCTTCTTTTCTCCTGAAATGAGGCTTTATGCTTCCCTTCAGCTAGACTCATTTGGGACTACAGAAATAAGAAAATTTCACTACAGACCTGATTCAAATACACTGGAGGAAGGATGTATATGGTTTGTGTTAGACTGAGAAGATGTATAACTAGCACTAGTAACTAGTGATTTGATGTTTCTGTTAGAGGTATTAGAAATATTTACATATGGAGAGTGAGCTAAATTATAATTAATTATAAAGAGCAACCTCTGTCAATTATGAGGCATCCATAAGGCTGGACATTTCTTTGTAGGGAGGAGAGACATAAAAGACAATTTTCACCTCACTTAATGGTGAAAAGTGTGACAAAAGATGAATGAGAAGAAGAGAAGCAAGGAAACTTAGGTTGTGTCTACTTATCAGAAATATTTCCCACTTCTGCAGCTTGCAGATCCAGAATATTTATCCATTTGTTCATTCAACTTCTCTTCCTTACCTTTCCCTGCACCTGTTTCATTATGCACCAGTTGATTCAGGACCTGACTGCACTCATGCTGAAGCTCCACTACAGCCTAAATTGCCAATGTGTCCCCACTTTCTGCCTAAATACTGCATCTACATGTGAGCAGTCAACAATGTATACATTTCGAAATTAATGTTGTACCATTGGTGAAATTTACTGGCCACAGTCTTAATACATTTGCCAAGTACATGTGTGTGTTTTCCTTGGCTGGGAATGTGCTGCTCTCCTACCAGCAGAACATTATACAAAATGTAATGGGGAGGTGGAAGGTAATTCATGCCAGTGCTAACTGCAGCTTCAGACTTAGCTGAGGTACCAGTGGCAGCAGAAAAGTTAGTTTGATTTCAAGAAAATGTCACTCAAGGATTAATCCTGTCTTCCTGCTTCCTTTTACTGAGACAGAAATCTGAATGCCTTTATTTTCTCTTACTGGATAATGACCTTACAGAAGGCTTAAAATAAAAACAGTTTTCAAAATCTCGCAGTATTCTAATATGCACAAATCATGTTATGCCTCCTAGGAGGTTGTTGTCAATTTAAGTTTACTTTAACTCTCCCCTCCACAGTATCTATGAATTTCAAATTGTATGTATCTTTTTTCCTGCCACTTTTTTCCCCACTTGCTTCAGCTTCAATTAGCGTTGGTGTGCCATGTACTCAGGAGCTAAGCTTTCTCCCTGTATGTGAACCCTCTCCTTAGCACTATTGGCAAGCATCAGAACCTAAGGCTTCAGCCTTGAGGTTTGGTGGCAGTGTGTCCCTGTGGCATAGCTGAGGCTGGCTTCTAGCCAAGCTGGGATTGACGCCGTGTGTGGTTCTAAGAGGGAGAGTGTGGTACCACACCCGCTATTTTTGGGCTTACTAGAAACTATAATTTCTTTTGCTTCTGTGGTGATCGAATTAATGCAGATCAGGTTTTCTTCAGAGGAAATAAATCTTGTTAAACTTCCTTTACTTTCTCATGTGATAATATGTTTGAAAAAAAAAAATAGGGTGGTGTACTGAGCGTGATGCACAGGGTTATCCGTGCGGTGCAGGGTGGTTGTTTAGCTACATCCCCTTGATGATTCCCTCTCCTGCCTGCCTTGTAGTTCGCAGTACGTACAGGCAGCACATGGGATTGAACACTTTCGGCGCTGGCTTGTGTTCTCCTGCCTTTGAGAATTTGGAGATTAATCCTGATTTTAATTAATCAAAGATGGTATCTTTGGGCTAAAGTTCCGGGTCGAAAGCGAGTGCCGCAGCTGAGAGTTCGGCGGTACGAGCCGCAGATGCCCGTCCTCGCCCGTCTCTTTCTCCTAAAGGCAGCTTTCGATTTCACGGGGCACAGGCTCGGGCGCCCGGGCCATGGAGGGACGCGGGTTCCCGCCCGACCGCGGGGCCGTGGACGCGGCGCCGGGGCGGGGACCGGGGCGGGGGCCGGGAATGGGGAGCGGCCTGCCACGGGCCCCCGTCCTGGGCCGGCCCCGACCCCCTCCCCGCCGGGCCCGGGCCGGGGCCGCGGCGATGGACGAAGCGGCTGCTCCGCGCCCTCGGGGGCTCAGCCTGGGGCCCCAGCGGGGCGCGGCTGCGGGAGGCTGGTTGCTGCGCGGGGGCTGCCGGCGCCCGGGAAGAGCACCCTGGCCCAGGTAAGAGTGGTCCCCCCGCCCCGCTCCGGCCCCACCTCGGGTATAAGGTGCGGTTGCGGGGCAAGGAAGCGGAGCAGCCGCAGGGGCCGAGCCGGGCAGTGCTTCGGGAGCCGTGTGCCCGCCCGACCACCGCGCCGGCGGCGGAGAGCGGGGCACGCTCGCTGCCAGACCGCCGCAGGGGCAACCCGGGGCTGGTTTGGGGCTCGGGGGAAAGCGGGAGCCTTGACTGGTGGCCAGCCGCTCGAAACCCTCCGGCATCCCGGCTGCCATGGCCCGCTCCAGGCTGCGCTGCCTCCTGGTACCTGTGGCTGGTCTGGGTGTCCTGCCCGTGGGACTGTGGGTGCTGCTGTCCCCAGCGAGAGTACTGCAGGGAAGCTTCTAGGAAGTTGGACTGAACACTCCGACCAAGGTGGTTGTTGTTGTTTCTTTTCTAAAAAGCATCAGATTGGTGGTGGGGCTTTTTTCTTTGGTAATTTTTTGTTGTTGTAGGTTTTTTTGGTTTGGTTTGGGCACTTTTTTTCGGTTAATCACAAACACAGTAAAGCACTCCCCCTCTCTGACTGAAAATTGACAGCTCTGACTTCTGTTTTTGTGATGTCCTGCACTCCTGATCAGAGCTGTAGGGCTGTGTATAATGGGCAGAGGAGACCAGTTCACTCTCTGGCAGTTCAAAGACTGATTAAAAATAGGTGGAAGAACCCAGTGTGGAGTACTGGGAGACAGCACTGCAGCCAGCATGACACAGTGTAGCTGTAATATCATATCACAAAATCTCACAGTCTGGTATCACACAGCTCCCAGTGCCACCCACTCTCTATCAAAAGAGGAACATTCACTGTCTTCTTACTCTGCTGGGTTAAGGAACCCATGCTGGGATCATGGGCTGCCACAAGAAGGGCTCTGCTGTGAGAGGTGGCAGCCTGAAGCTGAGTGATACACTGTGTTCATCTACAGTTTCGTCTTTTCAGTGCAGTACTTCCCTGTCACATTGGGCCTTCTGCCTCACTGCACTTTGGCAAGTGAAGTTATTTTATAAATGGGCAAATGCTGTGTTTTACTCACACCCAAAATGCATGTCTTTCCTGTAAGAGGCTGTGTAAGTGCAGGCCTGCTCCTTCAGAGGGGTTGGGTCTTCTCATAGCAAAGTAAGAACGTAATGGTTTGGGGCCATATTCTCAGGCAGCACAGGTAACTGACCCACTTGTATTTTTTAGGTCAAAACACAAGGTTAATTATTAATGACAGAATTACAAAATCAGGTGTAAGTATTGTTTTAATTCCCTGTGAGATTAATGTTTGAGTATCTTACTCTGTTTCTAGCCCCTGTTAATCGTATCATTGCATTTAGCTGTTCAGAAGTACACAGATTGAAGGACAGCCATTAGAGCAACATTTAATACCTCTCCATTAACTCTGACCAGATATGGAAGGACTGTGCCCAAAAACTTCTTTTGTTATTCCCACACTGTGTAGCTTGCGGTGTTGGTAAATGCAATGTGCCAAGCAAGGCAATGTTTGCAGAAAATGACAGCAACAAAGCTCATTGTAAGATCCTACTGGAGGAGGAAGGTGGTTGTTTACTTGCAAAAGCCCTCCAGAAACTCATTTTATGGATTCAGATTTTACTCACAGTATCACAGCTAAATACCTGAAGGCACCAAGATGCATGTGCACAGGTGGTCTGCCCAAAATCAGAGCGGTCAAGGGCCTTCACCTGTCCTGTCCTTGCTTCCTCTGCTGGATTGCTCTCGGTAGTGACAGGGTGAGTTTTGGTCAGGTCTGGTGTGCCACTCGCAACCATCAGCTTCTAGGGCTGCCATCTTTTTGCCTCCAAATTCAGCTTACTTGGTGCTTCATGAATCTTAGGTGTTGGGGATTTTTTTCCCATTATTTTAGTTTTCCCATTTTGGGTGTCTTTTCAGGCTCTGTGCTACTTCTGGAACGAGAGGAAGGAGGCAGGTGTGTATGGGCTGATGTGACCCGCTGGCCATCCTCCTGCTCTCAGAGCATGAGTCTTCCAGCAACATGTCCCTGGTGCTGGGCCTCAGCTGAGTGCTGGCCTTGGGGGGGGGGGTTAAGCAGCACCTTTCCCAGATTTTTTGCTGTTAATTATGTTCTTGGCTGTCAGTGTGTACCATTGTTTTAGCCTTTGCTCTATTGTTTCTTCTGATGCTTTCATACACACTTCCCTTCATTCATTCATTCATTCTTCATATCAGCCAGCATTTCAGTTACAACCTGTAGATCTTTACAGTGCTCAGAAGTCACAAACTGTGCACTGGTGATATCACAGCCCAGTCATATCTCCAAGAGAAAAGCCCCTTTTCAGTTCATCACAAAATCTTAAGGAACAAACTCAGATCCATGACTTGTTTCCCTGACTTTTCAGTGTCGCCGAGCTCAGTTTGGACACAGCTTTGTAAGATTTAGGTACAGCATCTTCATTAAAATTATTTCCCAACCCCAGTTGTTCTCCCAGCTCAGAGCAGCCTGACATTGGCATGGATCAGTTCAGGTCTGGTTTTGCATTTCTACTAAAGACAAAAAAGGATCCACTTGCGATTATTGAAGAATGAGGAGTTGGTCTGCTCACCACCAAGCTCCAAAACTTTCCAATTGCTTCACTGTTAAGAATATCCTTCCCTGAACCACATATTTTGGGTGACCCCAACCACCTCGCTGTAACTGTTCACCACACCAGCAGAAGCCCACAGGAGGAGGGCCAGCTGGAGTCGCATCTCCAGCAGTCTCCATCAGGCAGGTGCGACACACTCCTCCTGAACACATTGTCCTTGACTTCACAATACAGGTTTTATGATCAAACTGAGGCAACTACTGAGAAAACAGTTAACTGGGGTTCAGTAGCAGGTATAGCTTCCAAAAATGCCTCCAAAAAGTAAAATGAGCTGCATACAAGCTCATACCTGCTTCCCCAGCAAGCTCTTTATTGCATGGTCGGTGCACTTCCAGCTCTTCTACAATACATTGCTCAACTTACACATAAGCCTTTATCTAGCAGTTTAACTCAAGCATTAAGCTGGGCATGATCAAACATGTAACTTTTCAGCCACTGCTGTTGATTTATAGCTCAAAATGAGGTTGTTCTTGTACTCCCTTATGAACCACAAAGGGAGCAATCTTCCAGAACAGAAGGGAAAAGATGTACTGGCACTGAGGCATCACTGCTTGGCGTAATCCACGTCTTGTCCAGTTCTCCCTGCTGCCGTTGCCTGTTCATCCCAGCACCTCCAGTCCTGGCCTGACATGTAACCAGCACCCGACCCTGACCAGCACCTGACCCTGTTGCAGAGCTGCAGCTCTGATGGGTTCATGGACTTCAGCTCTGCAACTCCTGCTTCCAGACAGCATTGTTATTGTAAACATGTCCCCTCGTATAAAACCACTTCAGGTGAGTCTCCTGAATGTGTTGATCAAATGTAATATCCTGTTTCTTTACAAAATGGAGCCATGGCTTGAGCCCCCGTGGGTGAGACACAAAGGCGTGTCTGTGCTTTACAAGCAGCACCTGACTGGCTCATCTGGGCAAAGTCCTCTGGGCACTAGAAATTGTTCAAACACTGTAGACAGGTGATAATGCTGAGCATGTGCACCAGATCTCACAGTTCTGCTTTTCTGCTGAAACAAAAAGCTTTTAAACACCTTTTAAATGCCACAGAATGCAACATACAGTGTTGGGAAGAGTGACCAGAGCAAGCGGTTGCATGTATATGTTCTGGTCTCCAGGATATTGGAAGGGGTATGAGAATATACTGGCTCTGAGATCTGCCAGACGTAGCAACCTGCTGCCTTCTGATAATGTTCCTTCCCATCTGCTTACCAGGTTCAAATCAGAAATTTATTTTCAAATTTTCTGATGAAAAAGCATGAGAGCCTATGGAATACAATTATGGAATTTTTTTATCTCCAGTGATTATTTTTGTTTACATTATTATAAAATTATATAGAAAATAATTATTATAAAATTGTTACAGTTAGAATATGAAATAATTGTTTGAAAGCACTGAAGATGCTCTTTAGGGAAAAAAATGGACTTCAAAAATGTTATAAATCCTGGGAACACATCTTCAGATGAATAACACAGGAGATGTCTTTACCCACCTGTCTCTTCAGTGGGGCAGCTGTTACAATGCTACTGTGGTCAAACAGAAACAAAGCTGTATTTTCAACAGAAAGAGTCTCCTTTTTTGATCTCAGCAGCCATCGTAAATGTGGCCAGGGAGAGACAGCAGATGAGTGTCCACCAACACCAACCGAGGCACTGTGTTGTTTAGAAGTGTTGTTGCTACCTGGG